AAACAAAGTGATTTAACTTCTAAATGACAGTGAATTGAGCAGTGAAATTGCAGGGGAATGATCTATACACTAAAACTGCTTTATTTAGCTAAAGTAATTTAGGTGACTATAGTGTTCCTTTAACACTTTAGTGACCTTTGTCCAGCATTGGGTGACAATCCTGGTGTTGCTCAGCATGGCTCTATCTGAGACGTTTTTGATCTAACTATTTAACCAGCTCAAGCACAGAAAGCAGAAGTGGTCACTGTGGTTGGAGTACCACTTTAAAGGGTTTCTTTACTGAAACATATGTTTGGGAGGTTTTTTTTTTTTTGTTTGTTTGTTTTTTTTCTATCCTTGTTATTTTTTTCTATCTCTTGCACAATTGTTGCATTCTCACCACTGCTAAATTATAATGAATAAGCCTCTCCAGCAATACAGGCCATGTGTCTCAATAATATGGTTCAAATAAATGCAAGGTAAAGGTTTGTGGATTAAAATCCCAGTAGCAAGATTTAAGCCACATCAGATAATTTGTAAATCCCTTTAAGGGAATTTGTTTGGTGAACTGCAGCAATATCAGTTATGTAAAGACACTACTGAAACTGTTGCGCAAAGTACAGGTCCATTTTATATTGTGAAATAGCTACAGTAATGTGCGTGTATGTCAATCGTAGGCTTGTTTTTGTTTTTTGTACTTTTTTTTTTTTCCAGCTGAATTTAATCACAGTGAGCATATGTAGCGTTTTTTTCTTAGAAATGTTTTGGCAATTTAACATTTATAGATTACATATGTTCTAACGTGGTGTACTTCCTGTCCATTTTAGTTCCTTGCCTTTTTTTTCTTTTTTTTTTTTTTAAATACAGTACGTGATTTGTAGTGCAGTTTGTATCCATTTCAATGCTATTAAATACATTAACCATAATCACACATTTTATTCTTTTGTAGATCAGCAGCAAACCAGAAGCCAGAATGAATGATTCTCAGATATTGGACTATTCTTTGGATTATAACTACACTGACTTCCTGGATTACAACTTTACTTTAGAAGATGATTTCCGTGATTCAAAACAAAATACCTTGTTTTGTGTGATTTACGTGTTGGTCTGTGTTATTGGCTTTGTTTCTAATGCCCTGGCCATCTACGTGGTACTTAGGTACAGATACATGTGGACAACCACCAACATCTACATCTCCAGTCTTGTTTTGGGGGACCTGTTGTATATGATGTGTTTGCTGTGGTTTGCCGTTGAGACTGCTTATTCATACTGGTCCATGGGTATCGTCTTGTGTAAAGTTTTCTGGGCTCTAACGACCGCAGTTGCCTTCTCCAGTTCATTTTTTCTGACAATTATGTCCATCAATGACTGTTTGCACGTCTACTTCCCTGTCTTCTCGAGGAATAGACTTGGGCCAAAAGCAGCCTTGGTTATCAGTGGCTGTACTTGGGTTATCTGCCTTTTGCTGGGTATTCCCATATTTAGGTATGCATCCCTAGATTTTGGAAAGTCTTGCAAAGTTTGGTCTGAAGCCACCTCCCTTTACTCTATTACAATTACCACCTATCAGCTTGTTTTGGCCTTTTTTGTGCCACTGGCATTAGTTTGTGTCAGTCTAATTCTCACTGCAAATTGGTTAAAGTCTCACAAAAAACATGCAGATCCCTCTTATACTAATGTAAGAGAGGATATGATATTGGTTTTTGCTCTTTCTATTGTCTATCTGGTCATTTGGCTTCCAATGCATGTTCTTGAAATAATGTCTGCAGTTGGAGTCTTTACGGAACTTTCGGAGACAGTCTATTACCTTCTCTCCATCGTACCTTACCTAAAATGCTGCATTTACCCCTTCCTGTATGGATTGATATCACAAAGCTTCAACGACGGCTACAAGAGAGTCCTCTGTTGTGCAAAGGCCAAAGCGAAAAACAAAGACACGGAATGTTGTGGTGATAAACAAGAAGACAAGTGTCTGAATTGAAATCTTGTTTGCTTTGTCTTTTTACATTTCAAAATGTATCGACAGAAACATATTCATAACGTCTTTTTATTCATATCGGATTCATTTACTGGTAATCCTCAAAAACATAACCTAAACAAGCATATTACATATTCTGCAAATAACCGTCTTCTAATAAGGAAGTTTGCTTAATTGGAGAACTCTCTTATTAAAAAGTCAGTCATTTTAATCTTTAAACAATGTTTTCAATGTAACTTTTGAAATCAAATGGTTTTGATAAAGCTTTTAGATTTTGTTGGACAGCTGCAGAAAAGTATTCTATATTTTTATATAAATGTATATCATTTTTTTGTATTGTATAGTATTGTGACCCATTCACTTACACTGTGTATGTTCATTTATATGTAATCGCTTTCATATTGCCCTTTCAGAAATGCTTTTGCAGTACAGCCGGGGAGTCACATTTTACACACCCCTTAGATAATGTTTTAGAAAAAGTAACATGGCCACACATTACATCATCAGGCTTGAAGTAGCTTGGCCAATCAGGATGTTCTCAATCTGGTCAGTGGAGTTCTAAATTGTTAGAAATGTTTCCCATGCACTACATGGTTTAAAGTATAAGGGAGAGGAGCTGATTGGTAGAATTCATAGTACTCGGTGCACAGCCTCCGTTCTTTTTAGATTTAAATTTCAGGGACTTGTAGGTCGACTTTCTACTTATGAAAGCTGTTTAGAAGAACTATAGTGTGGTGCCCAGTGTGCTCCTTTAAAGGACCACTCGAGGCACCCAGACCACTTCAGCTTAATGAAGTGGTCTGGGTGCCAGGTCCAGCTAGGGTTAACCCATTTTTTCATAAACATAGCAGTTTCAGAGAAATTGCTATGTTTATGAATGGGTTAAGCCTTCCCCTATTTCCTCTAGCGGCTGTCTCATTGACAGCCGCTAGAGGCGCTTGCGTGCTTCTCACTGTGATTTTCACAGTGAGAGCACGCCAGCGTCCATAGGAAAGCATTGATAATGCTTTCCTATGCGACCGGCTGAATGCGCGTGCAGCTCTTGCCGCGCGTGCGCATTCAGCCGACGGGGAGGAACGGAGGAGGATCGGAGGAGGAGAGCTCCACACCCAGTGCTGGAAAAAGGTACGTTTTAACCCCTTTCCCCCTTCAAAAACCCGGCGGGAGGGGGTCCCTGAGGGTGGGGGCACCCTCAGGGCACTATAGTTCCAGGAAAACGAGTATGTTTTCCGGGCACTATAGTGGTCCTTTAAGTAGTCTTACTTCGTAATGTAATCAAAATTGAAAAAAGACTTGAGTTTAAACTTCAACATATCTGTTTCTGCAGTTAAGTGAAAAAAGAAGGTATAAAAAATATATATTTCAAGCAATTTCAAATTGTGCCACAAACCGGAAAAAAGAACCTTCGGCATTCTACCTCCTTGGATCAACACGCTCTTACCACCTATTAGACTTCTCATTTAATACCATTGTACATCCTGTTATAAGAGTCTTAACAGCAGAATTGAAAGAGTATAGCGAAATAAAATGGCGATCTGAGACATCTGATGTTAAAACAAAATGTTTTTACATTGCTGCAGAACGTTCGAGGACAGTTACTTTATTTAATATGTTATTGCTGACTGAACTTCCTTTTGTCAAATGAGCATAGTGTTTCTTTTATCATTTGAGCACACTGACAAAGACCTATAAAGAATCTAATTGATATACTAAACATGAGCACCTCTCTTTATTCAAGGCTCTTGGCATTCGTATGCACAGGGATCCTTGAGCCAGAAGCTGTATCACAGCATTTTTCTACTTGTACAATGCACATATAATGTATCATAATGATGTATAATTTTAGTGCTATGTAGGGAGTTATAAGAAAGAAAAAATGGCTGAAATACCATACTGTTAAAAGGGAACATCAGTTCACATTGTGTTTAATATTGAGTTTATTTATCTTCTGTATTTATCAAATATGTTTGAGGTCTGAAAAAATTGAAAGTGAAATGTAGAAATACACACCTCCATTCTGAATTTGGGAGACTCCATATTGGCTCCCTTTAACCCCTTAAGGACACATGACATGTGTGACATGATTCCCTTTTATTCCAGAAGTTTGGTCCTTAAGGGGTTAAAGATGAAATAGAAACAGTTTCTCTCCCAGTGCCTTGTGTGCCTTGGCTGTGCCGGCACTGCACTGAATAGTGATGCAATTTCCTTTAATATACATTTGAAAAGAAAACCGAGCATCACATGAAAAGGTTAACATCAATTACATGTGATTTTTAATAATATATATATATTTTTTTTATTTGATAGTGTAAAAAGTCAGTGTTTTCCTTTTAAAAGGTATAAAGCATTAAAGGGACACTACAGGCACCCAGACAACTTTAGCTGTGGCAGTGGCGGATCCAGGGGGGGGGCAACGGGGCAATTGCCCCCCCCGAGAATTCCGCCGGTCTCCCTCCCCTGCAATGTGCCTGTGGACCGGAAGGGAGATCACAGATCTCCCTCCCCGGTCCGCAGGCACTGTGCTGGCGGCCGGCGGCGGAGGGAGGGAGTGAAAGGGAGGACCCGGAGCTCAGTCTGCAGCTCCTCCGGGTCCTCCTCTCGTGAGATTTGGAGCGTTGACGCGGTTACCACGGCAACGCTCCAAATCTCGCGAGAGTGAACTCTAGCCCAGGAGCGTGGGCTAGAGTTCACTCTCCACACTGGACCACCAGGGAATCACCACTGGGACCACCAGGGATCAAAATATGTCCCCCCCTCCTCCCCAGTAAAGGTAAGAAGGGAGGGGGGACATAGGATAATATTTATTTTAATTAAATAAAAAATATATATATATAATAAAAAAAATCCACACACACACATATATATTGCCCCCAATACTGCCCCCCAATACACACAAACTGCCCCCCCAGTCACACAAACTGCCCCCCATTCACACAAACTGCCCCC